CCCCCCCCCCCCCACACCCCCCCCCTATCCCCTGCTTCTAGCCCCACTCGCCATAAACATCCGATGTCGGTTAAACGTTGGTATTACCGGCTGGCGCAATAGAGGATGTTTGATTCAAACTGCTTAAACCACGTGCGCACCGTCATCTCCTAGAGCTGAAACCCCTGGAGTAACAGTTACACCTTAAGTTTTATCCCGGGGGGTCGGGCTTGCGAATCAAGAGTATAACCAATCCCGTTGTGCCCCTAGGACCCCCTTTCCCTCGTAACCCCGACGGAGCGAAGTTTAACAATTTTCGGCCGCCCCACGATCAGGGCCTTTTCAACGATCCCTTGGTGCCCATTCCCATGTATTTATGCCCCACGGTGCCCAGTTATGTCAGTAAACCAATGAGCTCACTCATCGTCGGCGTTCACGACTCGTGTCAACCAAGACATTGTCACGCGTGAACGGTGTTTCCACGCCCTTGTGTTTTCGTCGTGTTCAGGCGGGCGCAGGAAGACCGCAAGATACGAGCGGCGGAACAAGTTGTCCTGGGGACAGAAACGTCACCCAACAACAACAGTACGGTCACCAATAATACAGCAAGCAAGGACGACGTCAGCGAGCACCCGCTACCGTCCAGTCGATCTCGCGAAGGACGCATCAATGCAACCGACACGACAGCAACCGCCTTCGGCAGCGCACCGAGCAACAGCAACAAGATCCCAACACTACCGCTGGAGAAATATCACGACCCTCCGAGTGGCGATCGCGAAGGTTTGGATAGCAAAAGTGCTGGGGGACATGAAGCGGGAGGAGGCGTCGATACCGCGGGTGCGGGGGGACACGAAATCCTCGTGGATGTCAGCAGGAGACCCGCCCGGGCGCACCGAAAGTACGCCGAGGAAGAGCTCGACCGCTACTGCGAGAGCAGCATCAGCTCGACGGCAACCAAAGTGGGTCCGCTGCGTTTTGTTCCCACCAGCTTGTTGGCGATCGGCGGAGGCGGTGAAGGTGGTGGGGTGGGCGTGAGACGGACCCCTCGACGGGTTCCCGTGCGACCGAACAAGTCTAGGAAGGGTGTTTCGAGGGGTAGGGTACTGGGGGAGTTGGGGGCTACTAGAAGCGGATCAGCATCACCCAGGGCCGTCAGGGGCCAGCTGGTAGCAAGCCAGAGTTTGAGTGCACGATGACAAGTATGACAGTACTTTCTCGCCCTGTTATCGATATATGTATTGCCTTCTTGTAGATATCGGCGAGACGGATGTATCAAACTCGGGGGATGGATTGGTTATTCATGTCAACAGCAGTCGATCATGGTTGTTGTCGGGTATGCGCAGACTCTCACAGCGACCTTGTTCAGAGAGTGGTGAAGCAAGGCGCCTCGAGAAAACAAACTGCATACTCGGATGAGAAGGGCACGGGGAAGTCTCAAAAATAGTCGATACCCTCACGATCACTGAAACCTCTGGCTACAAGTCTTGCCTTCGCACTCACTACACCACCGAATTCATCAACTTTCCACTTGTAGACCCATTTGCCAAAGACGACTTTGCTCGTTGCTTCAGGCCTCCCGCCAGCTCGAACGTGCCCACCCCAACCAAACCATCCATCTCCCGCTTCTCGGCTGCTCCCCAAGCCGCATTGTGCCGCCCCGCGTGAGCCTGCGCGTACGTCGCCGGAGTCTCGAGGTCGCGCGTTGGCCCGTCAGGTACTGGGGGCTCGTCGGGAGAAGGTTGGGCGATGAGCGAAGCGGCGACATCCTCCTCCACCGAAAGAAGCGCAAGCGCGCCCGGCATTCTGCGAGGTGCACCACCAGCGATCGCCCTGGTGACCGCCGGTGTGGCCTGGTAGCGGTCGGTCGTGGTGCCTTTGAAGGTTTGGGGAGGTGGGGGGCACGGGGAACATGGGGGGGGGCAGGGGGGGGCGGGGAGGGCGAGAGGGGAAACAGACAGGGAAGGGTAGGCTCCCCCCCCCGGTCGCGCGCCCTGCCATCCCCGCTTGCGCCGCCGTCGCCGCCCCCGGTGGCGCCGCTCCTGCGGTCGCAGCTTTGGCCGAAGCCGCCGCTCCCGGTGCAGAAGTGGCGCCCCCGTTGTACGTCGGCACTAGGCCGACGAACGGCTGGCGCCGGTAACCCCAAAACGACGTCCGCGGTGTACCCCCCATTTCCGGAGGGGAAAAAGCGCTATCTAAATTGGTCTCACTTTAATACTTTAGTACTTTAGTGCTCGACCTGTATTACTACCAACCTTTCGGCTTACGGGTTTTCCACCACACACAAAATCGTTGTTCGCGACCGAAAAAACAAGCCCCGAGATTAGACGAAAGAAACAAATGTCACAATAGTGACCCACACGTGGGCATATACGTCACGAAGCCCTCCCGCATAACAGCCTGAGTAACCTGACTGGCATCTACTTTGATCCGGAGAAACGCCAGCGCCCAAGAGCGGTCTTCCCCTCCCTCGTCTTGTGGCAAAGGCTAGGCTCGAGCTTTTCGAGGTGTATCGCCTTAAGTCCTCGAGGCTCGAGGAGGTCCGACACGATCGACTCGCTCACGGCAAACGGTGGCCCGCCCTCCTGTTGTCCACGATGGTAAGGAAGAAGAGAAGCAAAAGACGTTGCTTGTCGTTGGTTTACAATCAAGCGGCTGATAATCGAAGGAAGCACGGCACGTCATGGTTACGGCCTACCCTCGCCGAGCCAGATTTTCCGACCTGTGTTACACACGATGCACAACTTCAACCACAGAATCGCAAAACTCCAACTACTGCTGAGCGTAAAGCCCATACACTGCCCAAGTCGCACCGCGGCATCAGTTACCGTTGAGGGCGTCAGATGTGCTCAACGTCAACCGGTTGGTACAAAGCACACAGCTAGAGCTGTCGCATGCGAGATTAGGCTCGACGAGAAGGACGGTCAAAATAACCTCGCCACTAAAACCAACCGCACGAATCACAAAAGGAACACACCAACACTTCCGGTGCCGTTGGAGTGAAAACACACTCCATGCTTTTTTCTACGTCCCTTCGCACCTTTTCCACGATCGGAAATATGATGGTCACGAGCTCCCCCTCAGGGCGTAGCAGCGATACCATGTGGTCGGCCCAGTCGTCCCGGGCAGCCGGGTCAAGCGCACTGAGACAATACGTATTCAGCACCAGCGATCGAGGGGTAAACACTGCGTACTAAGACAGACAGCATCGTTATTAAAAATCGTCAGGTGTCGTGATGGCTTGCTATTGGGCCCATCCGCGCTGTATCGTCATCCCGTGTGACACCCGACAGGTGTCGGAGAGTGCAGATGATACGTGTTGGTAACGGTTTCCACTTATTAAGGAGGCATCACGGCGTAGGGCACACGCCTTCCTGCACACACAACGAGGTCGTCTTCAGCTGCTACCGATCTACAAGGCAGTCGGGCAGGAAGCACCTCGCTAGCTCACCAGAGGAACGTGTAGTCCAAGATAACGTCGAACTTCCCCTCCTGCTCGGGAGAGAACTTGAAGAAATCCCCCGACCGGAACTCAACCTGTGAAAAATGGGGTGGGGCGTAAGTAACATTATCGCCAGGTGATCCCTTGGTTAGCAATCAGTGGATCTGCTGCACTGTGACGCCGCACGGTGATGCACAAAACGTACGAACTTCTGCGGGTTACCCCGTCGTGTCTTGTGCCAGCTGGCAAACGTCTTTGCGTCGAAAAGGAGTACCTATATCTCGGGATTTCTTCAACCGAACACACGAAAGAGATAATCCCATCCATGCTCACTACACTTAGGGGTTTGCCCAGCTCCTGCCTCGCCTTTCCGCTTATGTCCTCTTCCTTCTCCTCCGCTAGCAGAGCCTTCGCTTGTTCCACTCCGGTCGGCGACAGGTCGAGACCGATCGAGTCGTAGCTACTCTTACCAAAGGCGATGGAATCGTACCCACGGCCGCAACCAGGCACAAGAGCACGTCCCGTCGGGAGCACGCCTGCACGAGAGACCACCGTGGTGTATACGAGGTGTTAGTATGGAGGGAGAGACAGCAGGGAAGCCACACCGCATTCTGTTTGTAGCTTGTGTGCCATGATTCGTAAAGGAGACCACTCTGTGCCCAGGCGTCCGAGATACCGAGCCTACGTGCTTCTTGCCGATGACTTCTTCGGTGTCTTCAAACGAGCCGAGGAGCGGCGCAGCCGCGACGTTTTATTGCCTCCATCTTCAGGGGGGGGGGGGGGACAAGCTCGAAATATCGACCTCTTCCGACACGATGAAGAGGCCAAAAATTGGTTACCGGGCGACCCTCCTTTTCGGCCAGAAATAGATCTGCAGAGCACCGCTGGATTCTGAGGAGGAAGGAAAACAGGGCACTCTTCGTCGTACCGGTTTGGTGGTGCTCCGTCAAGAGATGGCCGTGCTTCGCAGGTATTTGTCCCGAATATTCGTCGTTGTAACCTACCTCGCCCTAACCCCGGGAGTTGTCAAGTTAAACGGGGAACACAAAGCGGAGATCTCACACACACGCTTCAACCCACACACAACGCTGGAACGCATGCCTATCCCCACAGATCCGAGGCCAGCTATCAAAAACAGCCGGGGCCGAGCCAAATCAACCTGCGCGTCGTGAGTGTAGCCATGCGCCACGCGTAACCTAGCGGGATTGTTGCGTTGTTGGGGTTGTTGCGTGGGTCCGACCGACTGCTCAACAAAGAGCGGTGAGATCACACACTCAACACACACACCATGTACACCATCTGACTACCGTTCACGCGGTTGGACACGGATCGAGAGAAGCCTTCGAGGGCGTGAGCCTCAACTGCTGTGCGCGTTCTAAAGATTTTTTGCCCAGGATCGATCCATCAGGTTGCATACGCTGCGTTGCTGTCTTCGAGAAGACAAACACGAAGTTGGGGCAAGCCCATCTGCTTGCTTGAAATTCACGTCCCCGACTTTTTCTGGTGCTTGGGAACTAGTGTTGACTGCTTGCTGTCACTCTGCGGGAAAATTGGCAGGGTGGTGACGATTGAGTTTAGGTTAGGGTAAGTCGTGAGCCTGCCACATATATCTGTCACGATGTCACGATGTCACGATGCCATGCCCACGCTGCTGCTGGCGCTCTGCAGCGGTGTGATTTGCTCGTCGGCAGCTGTATCCAGCATCCCATGTCTCTTCCCGGTACGTGTTATTTGCGTCCGAATTCTATTTGCGCACGGCGGAAAGACGACATGCTCTCGTACTTTAGTGCTTGAGATCAACGGAAAACAAACAACCGCAGTACAAACCGTAATTTAGGGTCCACCTCCACCGTCGGCCCGATCACCTGTGTCCTTCAGATCACCTAGGGCGAATTTACCCCCATCACGTATGTGCTTCAGATCACCTCGGGAAAACATACACCAATCACCTTGCGTGGGGATGTTTCTTGCGTCGTTAGCGGTGCACTGACCAATGTCTTTCAGATCACCTCGGGAAAACATACCCCGATCACCTACAAACGGCTTTCAGATCATCTCGGGTAAACGTCCCCCGATCACTGATGTCTTTCAGATCACCTCGGGAAAACATACCCCGATCATTCATGTCCTTAAGATCACCACGGGCAAACTTGCCCCGATGACGTATGTCCTTCAGACCACCTGGGGCAAACTTACCCCTATCACCTGTGTCCCTTCGATCACTCGGGCAAAAGTAAACAGATCGCCTACATATGTTGTACTGATCACAAGGGACATACCCTTCGAAAGAACTACATGGCTTGATCTGTAGGGATCTTATGTGTGCAAGCATCTCCTCGTCGTGCCCGTCGCACACCTGTGCCTTGTGAACCCAGATATGTGGGCGGGGCTCTACCCCGTTTAACCCCTTTGGGTCTGTACTGTTTTTTTATTCGGCCAAAAACTAAAAAGAGGCGGGAGGCAGTGCGGAGAGAGAGAGAGAGAAGTGCAGCAAAAGACAGCTATCTCCACCTATCGTCCATGAGGGCAGCCCGCGACAGGGTGGTGGCCACAGACAGGGCCATAGAAGGGTTGATGGGTGGTCGCGGTGCGGCTGGTAGGGCAGGTTAGACTTGTAGGCCTTGAAATGATCAGTCGTCAAGCTGCCAAAACTACTCTATTTTCTATTTTCAGTATGATAAAAATGATCTATGAGAGGGCTTGTAGACCTATAGCCGGTATCTGCACTTCTGTACTTCTCTGCCCCCCCCACCTATTGTGAGCCCTGCCGGGTCACTAGAGCTCCTGTGTTTTTCCCACCAGCACACAAGCACTACAGCACACACCTACCTTCTCCTGAACGGCTCCCTAGGTTCGGGCGAGGATATGTGTGGAGCTTGATGGTCGAGTCATACATGTAGGTGCTGACACGATGACTGCTAGATCTTGGGAGTGTACGAATATCAAATTTGAAGATGCAGCATACCAGGATATCCTGGTTTGGCTGGGCTTGATAGGCCCCGTTTGCTGCACTCCGCTTTTTGCCTTTCAGTGGCTTCATAGATTTGGGTGAGGGCACGTATGTGGGGCTGTGATGTGTGTCTCTGTGAAAGGATATTTAGTTCGAGAGATACACAGTGGCATTCACATATAGGGCAATGTGCATTTCCGCATTTTGGTATGCATACCCTGCCAGGGACCTTGATTTCCAGCTGGCACTGACGTCTTTTCATTGGTCACCGGTGACCTCGGTCGATGCTAACAATAAAGACACACCTTTGCATACCTATGGACTTGCCAACACCTGGCGTCAAAGGGATACAGGGCGGCAACTCCATGGCATGCCAACACACCAGCATATGCGAATGATCTATCAATGATATATCAGAACACCTGAAGACCGCACACATTCCACATGCGGAGTACTAGTCTACGTCTTCAGAAAGGTCTGCTGAACACTGCTGTACAGTAAGTCGTCCCCCGCGACTCATAACCCCGCCCTATGAATCTAGTATTCCTGCGCTATCATATGCAGTACATAGACGAGACGGAAGCGGCAAAGTAGCACCGGCACGGCATGAATCTGAACGCCATGACTGGTGGCTACGAAAGAAAGGTGGCTACTAAATGCCGTTCGCAGATCATCGTCAGGAACATGCGACATTTCCGCAGGCTTGTCTATGAGTATTTTTTTCATCACATCTGTCTCTCAACTTCCTACCAGTCTACAACAGCAGTAGTATATATCTGACATATGACTCGCTTGCTCCGACAGGCTCCAAGGGGCCATGGTCAATACGGCTTACGCGAGCGCCCAGCAGGCATATCTTTCTGGGTCTTGGTCTGACCGAGGACAAAGGCACGTGTGGGTGTCAGTCACACAAAGCAGGTGTTTTGAGCACCAGACGCGAAGCTCGGGAACGGGCAGCCTTTTCTTTCCCATGCAATGCACTGGTGCACTGCTGTGTGTTGGACACAAGCAGCGAGGGACGTCCCATAGGTGGTGCCTCACCGATGGTTGAGGCTACAAAATGAATGTCATCAGGGAGATGGACGTTTGGTCTGCCGGTCTCGACTGCTGTGCTGTGTACACAGCTCGTCAGTCAGAACAATGTCGTCTCACCTTCGTCAAGAAGCTTTTGGAGAGCCGGGGAAACAACCCCAGTATCCCACTGGTCACCCTTGCTGATCCCTCCAGACCAGTAACCCTCCCAAGCTGGAGATGCTCGAACTTCTGAGGGATCGGTCATGCTCATGGTGGTGGTGGTGCAACTTCGAAGTGTGATGATTCCGCCACGCGTGACAGCAGGGATGTTCGGCACTGCGAATGGGTAGATCGAGCGTGGTAAGCACAGAAGACCTACCCAGCCTTTTAGAGAAGAGCAGTGCCGCATGCAGCGTGTGGGGTGTGTGTTTCTGCTGCCGTGTGTGGGATGTGCGTTGCTGCTGCCGTGTGCCGCGTGCCGCGTGTGCCGGGAGAACCGGGAGAAAAGGCGGGGCATTACGAACGGGCACACATGACGTCATCATGTTGGTCTGTTCGGGTAACGGGCAACCGGTGCAACGGTCGACAAAAAAATATGTAACCGTGACTGCTGCAGTCAATGACGAGTCCAATTGCGGGAACCTGCGTGCAGTAGTAGCAGTAGTCGGATTCCCCGGTTGGATACAGCTGCCTTGTGAGCAGAAAGAGAGAGAGAGAGAGAGAGAGAGAGAGAGAGAGAGAGAGAGTTTTGAGGGGAGCATCAGGCGCGAGGCTTGGGTGTTCCTACATGGCGCTGGCTCGTCCCTCCTTCTCTATATTTATCCTCGGTGCTCCAGAGAGAAACCGATAATCATGACGAAGAAGAACACAATGAATATATGTTACTGGATGGTTCGGATTCTTGTCTGTCTTCAATCCAAAGCGAAAGTGATCTATCTATCTATCTATGGTCTAGACTACAGTATAGTCTACACACACAAATTCGCTGAGGTAAGCCAAACAAGGCGAAACGTTGAATACCTACGGCGAATCTCCCTGAAGTTTGTATTCACAACGTCTCATAGAAATACTCTACATTACATCAAAGAAAGGCTAACTCGTTCGAGATACTGTACCCCGTTGGGATATGTTGATTTCTTTACAGCGAAGGTTGAGAGGGAAACCTATTATACACCAGGTGTATACTGTCGTTTAGATAGACTACACATGTAGATATCACAGACTATCTCTTCGCGGTCAGTCATCAATCCCACCAACAGTTTCCCGGCATCCAAAAACAAAGGCAGTACAAACTACGTACCTATAACATGTACATGTGGACGGCAAAGTGTGGTTTGTTTTTGCCCACTAAGGCCTATTGTTAGCGCAACGGAAAATTCACGCATTTTTTCACGAAACGGTGAAAAGAATAATCGATTATTTTTCGCTTGTTCTATTCGTGATGTCATCGCAGAAAGTACGTTTCCTTCCCTGAATACACGCTTTGCTCGGCACACAACAGGTTGACTTGGTTTTGCTCACCATAGAGCAGCGGTAAAAGCGCAATGAGCAGCACCCGACACAAAAAGGACAGCACACTTAGAAAGATCCCGTCCACCCGGCCTGCTGTTTTCAGTTTTCAGCAACAACAGACGAAGGGCAGAGTGCCGCAACCTGGGTGTTGCTTCCGATTTCTTCAGTTTGCCGGCTCATTTTTCACGGTTGCGACTCCCTTCTTTGACCACCACCTGCCCAAAGGTAGACGAGCTCAACAATCATAGGGCGGCAGCGGGGCTGACGGCCGGCATCATATAGATGGCCAATCCGAAAGAATTAGCGTGTCGGAGCCCTGTTACTCTACTGCTGCGTGGTGCCGTGGATTGATGTTGATGTGTCCGACCAAAAACAGATCATCTCGCCGCATTTTTTCCAACGGCATTTTGGTGAGGTGGCACACGTCTCTCACACACCTTACTGAGCAGCATCCAAGCCCCCAATACCCACGAAGCAGCACGGCGCCGGGAGTGAGTATCATATAGACAGCCGAACCGAAGGAATCAGCGCGTTGGAGGTCTTGGTGCTACTGCTGTACTCGTTCTACTGTTTCCGTGTTTGCTATGTGTGATTGAAAAAAATTCTCCAGCTCCAACAGCAGCAGTTGAAGACGAGAGCACCACGCGATGTCTCGTTTTGGACCAAGAACGGACTGAACGCGGGTTCTGCCGCTTGTCCGTCTCCACAACAGACCTGGACGTGAGTCTAGCAGGACTTGCGAGCGTTCTCAGTGATGTTACAGCGCCCGCGGTGCGCCTGTCCCTCCCTGCCCGACCCTTGTGTCAAGAACCCCGGATCCGTGAAAGCAGGAAGCCCCAAAAAAAAACTGCTCGCTACTTTCACGGATCGGGGGGGAAACGCCTCCATATATTTGCAAGAAAGCACGCTTCCGTGAAATTTTCCGTGTTTTTTTTGTCGTTAATAAGAGGCCTAATAGCACACACGTGACGCCAATCGTAGCTCCCGTTCTTCATCTTCCTCTAATAAGCCCGATACCGCTGCCCCCCGAGGGCAGAGACACTACCTTGCCGTACGGCAATGCAGGCGAAACCCTCGCCCCTACATCAAGCGTTGCCAACGATACCGCTCCAGGCTTGTCTCCACCTACGATGCTTGTCCTACTGATATTGCCAGCTACACCCTCCCCGAGACCAGACACTATTCGCGATCCGCCTCGACTGGCTGTACCGCCTCGCTCGTCTTCGCTCGTAGACGAGGCCGAGAAGTTCATTGACGTAAGTTTTAGCGGGCGTTTCGGCCCCCCTGAGTTTTGAGTGGTGAACGGGGGTGGGAGGGGGTTGAGGGGACGGGTTGCTTAGAGGGAGAGGGCTTGCTCTTGCTTCGGGGCGTCAAGGAATCACCATCATGAGACGAAACACGTCCAATCAATGGATGTGTAGCTACATACCCCCTGCACGCCCGGGAGGGCTCTGCGTCATGAACTCGCAGTAATATCATCTCCGCAGAGGGTAAGAATACATGCTGGAGCAGGACGTGGACTGGCCAAGTTGGAGAAAACCGCCCAACCAACCTACCCCACGCAATGGGTAGCTCTGTGCCTCCTGAGATGAGCTCTGACACTTTTTTTGTCCCAACACCCTCCGCTTGCGACGGTCATGAGTGAGAGCACACACGTTGGAGTTATAGCTGAACAGCAATCTCATTCGTACATGGCGTCGTCTACTGCCGCGCGTCAGACGCGACCTCACACACATTTTGGGTGCTAAGTTGTTTCGGTTCGTGCTCCGCAATGTATCCATGACCGCGAGGAGGCTTCTTGCATGTTCGGGTGCACGATTCCGGGCCGTAAGCAGACAGATTTGTTGAGATCATAACACATGCACGCATGGAACCATGTAAGAAAACTATTGGGACCTTTTGGGGCACGGTGTGCGAGGAAAAAAACAGAACAGTAGTAGATTCGTAGGGTGCGATGCATCCCTCACCTCCCGAGCCAATACGCCGTGCTGTCGAAAGCGGCGCCCACTTCACGCTGCCATGGTGAGGTTGTCCCCCCCCGCCGCGGTGCTGCCCACCGACCGCCACGCCGCCAGCAACTTCCGCGAGGGACCCGGGAGAAGCAGGGCCCGCTTTTAACTTGAGCGTCAAGGCCTGCACCAGGCACTCTTCCCCGCCGGGAACTTTTCCTCCGCGATCGCCACAAAAAAATCCACTCCTACGATCAACGGCGATTGGAGACCCAGAAGGATCGAGCGCACGGGAGAGCAAGAGAGGAGGTCATCGAAACCTGTCGCCGGGATTTCTACGAAGGGTGTGCTTCGGATGTGCGTTGCTGTTCGCACCCAGGTCGTGGATTTTTGTTTTGAATACACAACGTTGCGTGAAACACACGACAAAAACTCAGAAGATAGAGACAAAGGTTTATGCGGAGCCAGCTCCCGTTCGACGAATCTCCGAGAAGAGAGAGGAGTACTCCCCAACGGGGACCTTTTAGACATTTTCTGGGCCTTCGTGCCTCTTGCGGCAGTACATTTCTACTTCCCACGGTAGTTCCGTAGCTTGCGTAGTAACTCAGGCTTTGGCGTGGACCCCGTCTGTTCATGGGGGATACACACGTGACTTCCCAAGGGCATTGTGCAAACAGAAGCAGATCTACGCATCAGCCGTACTTCGATGTGTGCTAGTTGCTATGTAGTTTCAGAGCCGGTCATACGACAAGGGGGGTGATCGGTCTCAAAAGAGAGCCGGTCAAGGTCAGGTAACCTAGGCAAGCAGAGTACCCTCCACACACACTTTCTCTCTAGTTCACGCACACACCTCGAGGATCCAGAGACAGCGTTTGGCGAAGGCAATCCGTCGTGTGGTCTGAACGGGCTAAACGAGTGGGCTATCGGTCCTGTCGGGTACCTGGTCACGAGCGATGGTGCGAAAAAATCACCATCCATGGCACATCGAAAAACCAAACGAAAGGAAGACAGTGGGGAGAAAGGGCCGGGATAACTACAGGTCGTCCTGTTGGTCTGAAACCTATATTGCAGTGGTTTCGTTCAAGTGTGCTTTGTGGGGGCAGCGGAACGCCCCAGAGAGGACGACTGCCTAATGCCGAAGGCTAGCTTTCTGTGTCGTCCAATGCCCCAACAAGCACTGTGGAGGATAAGTTGGTATATAAATGACATGGTAGAATGCTGACGCTTGTGGCCTGCACCGCGAATGTTCCCCCAGCTTGCCTATCGTTGATGTCCGCGAAAAATATGCGAATGTGCTCTGCCGTTGGGTGTAATCCAAACATGCCTAATGGACGAACCCTGTGAATTAAATGCGTGCAACACGTCGCCACGCTCATTTCCTAGTGCCCCATACATATCACAGATCGGACTAGGGCACTCATCGCGACAACGTCTCACACCAGCATGGTCTTCACTAGGAAGTAGCAGTGTGTCAAAGCTAAGCGACCAGGGTACAAACGTACAAGCTTACCCTGCCATACCACCGCCTTGTGTGGCTACCGTAGACTTTCTCGTGATGCCTCCTACGTGACCGACCGTGACATACTCCCGCCGGTTAACCCCCGCCATCGATGCCGTTCCCCCCCCTCCTCCTGCACCGCCGCCACCACCTCCTGCGGTGCCCCCGACGCCGCCACCGCCTTTGGCGCCAACATGAACGCCGTTGCCACAAACTCCGCCACTGCCAATGCCAGGGGCAGCGAGTCCCCACATCCCGCTGGAGGTAGCACTGCTTGGAGCTGTGATTATGCCGACCCCGGTGCTTCCCCCGGTCATGGCCTCCGACAGTCGTTTTTCTTCCACGGTGATGTCGGCAGAGTCTACTGCTGCTAAGGAAGGGAACAAGGATAGAAGGGCTAGCCGACTATAAGGACGCCTGTTGAGAGGAGAAGCGCGGGGCGGGGCAAAGGAAGTGTCAAAGGTTCCCACCCTGTGCTTGTTCTTTGTGCCGCTGACGGCAACGTCCCCGGATGTGTCTCATGGGCGTTGTGCGTTGCCTCAGAGTATCATTCTACTGAAGTAGTTGTTTTATCTCTCTCTGCTGCGGTCACAAAAAGTCAATTTTGGGGGAACCAACTTATCCAAAAGGAATCCAAGCAGCTTAAGGGAACGAGGCGGCTAAGAAAAGGCTGATCACCAAATTTAACCACAGCTCGACTTGCTGGAACCTTTACGCGATGTGATACAAGCGTTCTGCCGGCAGGCTCAAACGGCACACGCACACTATTCCTGACGCACCAGCCGTATCAAACATAGGTAGGGTCCAACCAGCTGCAGCGAGCGGTGACACACATAGCCTCCAGGTCAAGAAAGCCCCATCCTCTTATTTTCTTGAAAAAGCGCCTCGCCACACAGACCCTGCGCATTGCGCTCCTCCACACAACCACCTTGACTCCTTCTTCATCTCACCTGGCCATCGGGTTTCCGCAGACGCTAAGCTCCATCAGGTTCGGCAGCGCCCCCAGGCGGTCAAGCTCCGCCGGGTCGGACAGCCGGTTCTGCGCAAGGCTAAGGCTAAGCAGCGCCGGCGTCGAGGCCCCCAGCCCCGGCGACAGCACCCTGAGCCCGTTGTCCTCCAGGCGGAGCTTCCGGAGGTTCCCTAGGCCGTTGAGAACGGAGGGGGGACCCAGCTGACGGATCTTGTTCCCGTCCAGGTTAACCTCTACGAGCGTGCGGCAGCGGTTCAGCCCCCCAAGGCTGCCGATGTTGTTGCCCTGGGAGGAGTGTTCGTAGGCGGAAGGGCGGGTGATTTACGGCCGCAACAATACGTAGGCGGAAAGAAAGAGGCGGGACGTGGACTGGGTGTAATCTGATGCGCTCTGCCGATTGGTTAGCCGCGAGTACAGTGCTGAAAATTACCTGCAAGTCCACGGCCAGAAGATGGTGCATGCATTCCAAGCCCAGAGCTGATATGTCAGTTATCCGGTTGAATCCCAAGTAGAGAACCTGGTAGCAACGGCAGAGGTAGACAAACAGCAGTATACAACCATGAGACGAAAGGACACGTGGACATTGTGTACGGCGGCAAGCAGGTCGGGATTAATGGCCAATGACAACTCTCAAGTTCAGCGCTATATTGCACCACATCTCGTTTTTTTTTTTTTTGTCTTCACTTTAAATCAGCGCTCACAGCATTAGTGCCGTTTACTCCAACCCGTGGTCACACAGAAGAAAGAGCCCCTCTCTACCCTCCCCTCCTGCGGTACTTTGCCTTCGATTTTTAATGCGAGAAGAGTTCAGCACTCTCTTCTCTCTGTGTACATGTGTACACACGAACTAGCGCTATCCACTAGACCAGGAGCGGAAGCGAGAGAAAAACTCATTTTGCAAGAAAAGCTCGCTTACGCCGGGATTCGAACCCCTGACCTGATCTCTAGAAGGTTTCGAGGATACCACCTAGACCACCGGGGCGACCGGGTATGATGGGCGCCGAAAGCGAACCCGCGAATGCAGCATGATTCCGTCGTACAACAAACTCAAAGCGTCGCGAAAGCGAAGCGGCTTGCTGTTGACTGCCGGCCCTTCAAACTGGGTGAAAAAATTGTATGAATAAATTAACTTCTATTTACAGAAAATATCCATACACTCACAGAAAGACTACGCGTTCGAGATATAATCACATTCGAAGGAGATGTGTTTCTGCCGTGAGTGGGGAGAAAAGCTGGCTGGATACTGGGCGAATTACTGGGCCTATTTAACCCTATCAACACTGCTCGTATTTACTAAATTACGCAGACTTACCTCCAACCTGGCAAACATGGGTTCTTCGACGGCCGCCCCAGCAGAATTTTCGCTTTCGACCTGTCCGATCTTCACGCCCCGAGTCGTACACAGCAAGGGAGGTTGTAGGAATAGGAGAACTTAAGAATATAGTTGAAGTGTTTTCTCAGCTCGGGTTAAAGCACGCCGCTTCGGTATTCGAACACCAGTTCACGGGGCGTTGGGGGTTGGGTGTATGTAACGAGAACAGTCTTGTTTTGGCAGAAAGGATGCCCTGCGATAAACACCTCAGTATTTCACGAATGTCTAGATCGTGCCTTGAGCTCGGCAGGTTTGTACGGTTTGGGGCCTTGCCCAAGGGAAGCGTTTCTCGTGAAGGGAGGGGGGCAATACCGGCAAGACAACAAGCTGGGCTCGCACGGTGCACAGCATACGCACAAAGCCCGAGCACCCCTTAAGATACCAAAAACTAACTTAGTCCCCAATTTATGCTGCGAGAAAGTGCACAGAGTGAAAGAGAGAGAGAAAGAGAGAGGGAGGGAGAAATTCACGTCGAGACAGAGATGCACAGAAGCTGCGAAGAAAAAAGATCAAACAAGCACTACAGTAAATTTTGGCACGGTTCTTACCGAATCTATCCTGTTGTAGCTGAGTCGGAGTACGCCGAGAGAACGAAGGGCGCCAAGCGCGGCGAAACTAACGAGAGAGTTGTTGTCGAGGTTGAGCTCTTGCAAGGAGCGGAACGGCAACGTTGGGAGGACCTGGAAAAGACCAAGGTGGGGGTGGGGGTGGGGGGTTAGCCGAGACGGCGGGGTAGTAGTCATACCTGCCTTGCCTTTGTAATGGGGCCACCATTCATGCTTCTCAGTTGCGTTTGACCACCTTTCCTATACCCAGTAGCGCCAAGGCCCGACGTTCGAGAGTTCTGTTTAAGCGATTGCCATGTGCTCAAAACAAACGACTACAGTACCGCAATCCTCTACTGTGTGAGATACTCGTCTTTGTGTGGCCATCATCCGTCTTCAGAAGATGCCATTACTTCTGCTGCTTCGAAGACAACAACACCAACTCGGGGATCAGGGATACCCAAACAAGACAGGCCGGTACATCCCTGAATTATTACGAAGGTAGCGAGAGGTGTCAGAAAGATAGATTCCGTACGAATAGCATGTGGAACGACAGGCTGGCACGTGCTACAACGTACGTTCTTGAGACGATATCGTCCCGACATCGTTTGCAGCAACAGCAATTAAGTCATGTATATATACCAGATTCGCCGCCGAGCAGAGTAGCGGAGGTACTCTCGCTAAGATGGTGCGATTCGAGTGTAGGTTAACGTGTTGCCTACGTTCTTTCTCACCTCCACACTTCGCCACTTGCTCTTGCTGAGGTTTAGGTACTTGATCGTCTCAACCTTTTCCCTGTTGTACATGCCGAAGATCACCTCCTCCGTCAGCTGCGACGCCAAACCAAGACCCCGTCAGGGGGGCAGACAAGCAGCATGGGGGGTAAGCGGACGCAGTCGCACATATTTTGCTCTGGGTGCTTGAATCGCTCGCGCGGTTGGTTGTGCACACGCAAACCATCTGAAGAAGGGCAGCTGCTTTTACCGGTTAGCCACTGCCACCAGCTGAGTCGTGCGATGGCTGTCTACATGTATGGATTTTTCTTGCCTTTTTCTGCATTCTTTTACGACTAGTGATCTAAGGTGAATGGAGTCAAACCGACAACAGCCCTTGTCGCGCAGGGCTCCATCTGGCCTTGGGTATGCTGTGGTGCACCTTGCCGATGAACTTAAGCTTGGCCTCGTTCTTCTCGGTCCCGCCGACACCAACGCCGTCCAAAACCTGGGTTAGAAGGGGGAAAGAGTAGGGATGAACAGAACAGGAAGCTCTCATTTTCAACATTTGAGGCTGCCGAAAGGGGTATTAAGTCTGCCGGATAGAGCATAGTTCTCTCTCCGTGCTGAGCCCTTAGGCGTGACGATCCAACAGGCATGGCGATACCCGTTCTCTCGGTGCCTGCGGAGCAACCGGCTCGAGCCCGTCAATGGGTACCGCGCGTTGACGAGGATTTTGTGTTCACCAAAACGCTCAACAAGAAGGTTTGGAGTACAATGGCCTTTCATATTGCGGTGTTGCGAACAACGCACATTGCATGCTACGACATGGTACTTTGTGACAGGTGACGCATACGTCGTGACATATTCATGTGCGTTCAGATATTACATAGAGACCCTGCTTCATTGGACACTCGAAAACTTAAACTTTCCCTGTCAAGGCTCCCGCTCGCTGCTGCTACTGTTTCGAAAAACAATCAATCGTTTCTTGCAGTGATGGGCATCATTTAGAGCGTTTTCGTCGGGGAAGAAGGGAAACTAACTTGTGTCTTGTGTGTGAGACGAGACCACCATTTGCATCTACCCCCTCCAGGTGCAGCGCCGTTTGTCCTAATATTAGCGACCCCCCCAGACAAAGTGGGCAATGTTTCTTACGACCTTCAAAATGTTGTTTTGTCTTACGGTTCTGTATCCTTACATAATTACCCATCGTCGCGTGCAAGAGATCATTATTACATTATTACAATAGTATCTGAATGCACCAAGATGCACGTAACTTTCACAACAATATTATTATCGTATTCTCCAGCAACCCGGGGGCGCGGAAGTTAAAAGAAAGCCATTTCTTCAAAATCGGAGCACTCATGGGGTAACAGCAGCAACAACCTCGTGATGGCCCCCAAACTGAACCAAAGGTGGAAAAATAATATTCGTCCGTTTATCCTTGGCGCGGAAGCGGAGCGACACACTGCGCGGCAGGCGGGGTCGCACCTTAAGCGTGGGGATCTTGAAGAGGACTTGCAGTCGGAAGTGCGGCGATGAGCACACGGGGTTCCCTGACGTGTCGAGAATTATCAGCCGCGGTAACGACCTGAGCCGGTCCATCTGAAAGGAAGGAACGGCCGCAAGGAAAGGTGGGGGGGGGGGAAAGTACTCATGTTTCGCATGCCTTCGTTGTTGGACCATTGGCCACGCGTCCTCCAGAGGACGGAGCAGTCTTCATACATAATCGCCCGCCGAGGACCAATCGTTCCTTGCTTCGTTGCCACCAGGGGGCTCAAAAGCGTTTTCCCTTTCTGGTGAGGGAGGAGGGGGGGGGGGGGGGGCGTACTCTTATGTTTTGCATGCCTTAGCGGTTAGACCATTGACCACGCGTCCTCGAGAGGACGGAGCATTGTTCCCACAGGACCGATCACCGATGGCCAATTGTTCCTTCCTACTTTGCCAAAGGTGGCTCAAAAATGTCTTCCCTAGTCTGTCTATCCTAACGATATCCCTTCCCGCCTTTTCAAACCACTTCCTACTCCCCAGTACAGCTACCGTCCTCTCCTCTCTATTCCATGCCTCAAACATCTCCCTGTACGTCCCTTGTATTTTTCCCAGCTCAGTCATGTACACTTCCCTCTCCTCTTCGTACCACGGACATTCCGCGATTACATGAACACGGTCTTCGCATTCGAAGCCGCAATCACATTCGAACTTGTCGTCTTCGTCGTCTACCGTCCTATGTCTTCGTCGACGTTCTCGAAGGCCTATGCCCCCGGTCCTGAATTTGACCTTAAGCTTTGTCCCTGCATCCATTGGTCCACGTAGGTAATCCTTGACCCCTATTCCTTCTTTCAACGTTCCGTACACTTCTAGACCCTCCTTATCCTTGGTTTCTGTCCTTAGATTCTGTTCTTCTCTCTCGGCACAAGCAACAGATATCTTCTCCTTGAACCCCTGTAGACCCTCCGTTTCCAGCGTTTCATCTTCGTCGATGTCTAACCCCTTCCACACGTCCTCTACAACCTTGACCCATTCCGGGGGTTGTCTACCCCTCTTTTTGTTTGCCCACTTCGCCTCCCATACTATTCTCGGCAACCTCTCCTCTCCCATCCCGCAAATGCGATACTGCTATGTCAGCTTCCTTGTGTCTCTTCCCGACCGTAGGGATTGGATCCCCAATTCTGCCCTTACGGCTGCATTACTTGTGCGCTTGGAGCATCCTAGGATGATTTTCGCTGCTTTCATCTGCGCCGCCTCGAGTTCTTTCACTACCTTCTTATTTCCTTCCCATGCTTCTCCGGCGTACTCTAGCGGCGGTACTACGACGCTCTTCAAAACCGCCAATTTGATGCGTGTATCGAGGTGCCGGTTTGCGAGTATTGGGTGCAGCTTCCCTGCTCGTGCTTTGCCCTTTTCCGCTACCTTGGACATGTGTGCATTCCACGAGCAGTCGTTTGCGATCTCTACTCCGAGGTATGTGTACTGGTCCACTACTGCAATCTCCTCGATCCCCCACTTCCATCTATGTTCTACTGGTTCCTCCCTGTCCTCGTTGCATACCATGACGGCACTCTTCTAAACGTTGGCAGACAATCTCCATTTATCCGTAAACTTCTTCGCCGCGTCAATTTGTAGTTGCAGTCCCTCAGGGGTGTCCGACATACCAACAAAATCATCCGCAAACAGCATTACTGACACCGAAGTTTCCGTGTCCCCTACTTTTACTCCCTTCCGGAGTGCCTCTACGACTTCCAACAGATCGTTGATGAACACCTGGAACAATGTTGGGGACAGCGTCCAACCTTGTGGGACCCCCTGCTCAATGTCGAAGAACTTAGACAGTTCTCCGTCTAGCATGACCGCGCTTTTCGTACACTCTGTCATCTTCTTCAGCACTCTCCACATTTTCCCCTTGATCCCGTACTTGGACAATTGTTTCCACAGCCCATTTCTCCATACGGTATCGTATGCCTTTTTCACGTCCAGGAAGAAGGAGTACGTCGGCTTTCCCGCCCTCTTTCTACCTTGGATGATTCTCCCTACCGTGAATGCGTGGTCTACGCACCCCCTCTTCTGTCGGAAACCTGCCTGGCCCTCACTAATGCTACGTTCCTTCTCCAATACTCCCACTATCCTATCGTTCAGCAACTTACAAAACACTTTTCCTACTGTGTTCAACGGTGGATTAATAATCGCGAGGTGGCGGTAAGGAGGGATTATGTCGCTAGGCGAGGCGTACGAGGGACGTCCGCGTCGACCGGCGCAAACAGTACCGGTCAGTCAGAGGCTTTCCTCGAGCCTTACAAAGGAAAAAATAAAATAAAAAAACATAACTATGAGATTGAGATGTGGATGTGGGTGTGCTACTTGTGAGTATTAACCGCGCCGATTGGTCAACCAGATGAAACACTACGACTAGAACGTCAGCGGGTTCAAGCCACGCCCCCCCCCCCAAAGTGCAAAACTCCTAGGACTGGCCACATCTCTACGATCCCTATGACTGGCCACATCTCTACGATCCCTAGGACTGGCCACATCTCTACGATCCCCGACCCTTTACGGTACGGGTGGACTGCCGTACTTCCAAAGGAGGCACCGATGCGAACAGCATGCGATGGCGGCAGGAACACTTCAAACCCAGACAAAAAAAACACACAAGACATCGACGACAAAAACTGTCTCCCCCAGTAGACAACGGTCCACTCCCCAAGAAACGCAGGCCGGGAGTGGACTTAAGTATTCTTCCTGTGCGTCAGTGGGGTTACCTCGGGTGCGGCCGTGATGTCATTATTTCCGCAGTAAAGCTCCATCAAGTTGACCAGTTTCGTCAGCCCGCGAAGACTGCATCGGCGATGGCACGCATGACGACGGGGCAAAAAGCGCACTGGTGATGGCGGCTGTTTGGGTTGGGGTACGTGGAAACAGGTAATGCTTCCCCAGGGTGTGTTGAGCTGTTCCAGGTACCCTTAATTCATCTAATAGATACCACAAGAATCGAGCCACAGCTTGTTGCTAGTGCAGGGGACAGAAAGCCGTACACATAAGGATAGCAACAACCTGGTCAGAGGAGAAGTCATTTACACCCATTCATTCGAATGTGGCAATACGATGCAAAGTCTTGTCCGTTTTGTGGAACCGAACGAAAAAAAGATAAACCTAGCAGCCGGTGCGCTGTTTTTTTACTTGATATTTTGTGGTGGTGGGTGCCCGCGCGGTGCGAACCAAACGCACCCGTGGGCCCTTGTCTTTACCATGGGTGAACACTAAAAACATTGCACTTCAGGCAAGCGACACTCCAACCTCTTCTTTCAAACTCAGTCATCCTCTGCGTCAGATAAAGCTTGCCCTTCCTCGGATTGCAAAAGACCTGAAAGCCTGCGCATAGCCGCGCGCGTACTTCCGTTCGGCCCTCGACCCCACCAGCCCTCGCCCCCTACTCACTTGTGCAGCAGGTTGCTTTCGAGGGATAGCTGGCTTAACCCCGTGAGTCCGCACAGGGGATGGAGGTCGGAAATCTGGTTGTAGCCAAGATCGAGCTTCATGAGACGCCGTAGGCCAACCAGCCCTCGAAGCCCCGCGGTTGTGAGCTCGTTGCCTTCCAGATTGAGTTCCTGTTCGTGCACGGACCCAAACATGACAAGGTGCGTTGATGAGTTGGCCTGTGACCACTTTAATGGATTTTTCTTTAGGGCCGTCGGTACGATATATTGTGGGACAGTAACTACGCAACACGTACGCTCTTCAGCGTAGTGCTCGTGAAAATAAACATGTTGGGATCAAGAGGGAACACTCTTGGGGGGAAAAGACGATCGCGGTTTAGCTATTACTGGCACAGGATGACAACGGGGTGAGGTCGGGAACCCAGGAAACAAAACTGCTGTGCCATGACCGCCAGAACAAGAATGCTCGAGGGAAGGTTCGGTGAGTGCGGGATGCTTTTGATTGGTTGGACACGCACTGATAAGAATCTAGGAGAGACGGCTGCGCAAAGGTACCTTGTCCGAGCTGCGCCCCACCCCGCTTTTTTTTTGGCCCGGGCTTTTTGGTTTTAAAATGCGGGGGGCGCCCCAGACCCAACGTGAATAGTCCGGAGGACTTTAAAAATTTTGGGCAAGGGGCATGTGCGCTAGATTTAAAGTGGGATGATGTTGGAAAATGAAATGTAGGGGGGGGGGGGGCGCACCTCAAGGCAAGCGCAGGACCTCAGGGGCGCAGTGTCGTGCAGTTCGTTCCCGGAGAGATCAACCACCCTCACAAAAACAAGCCGCTCCATGCCTTCCAGCTTGTGTAGAGATAGGTTGTGAAGGGTCACCAACTCGATGTCCTCTAGCAGCAACCCCGTCGAGGGGTGCGAGGGGCACGATGGATCCGTCACAGAAGCATCCTTGTCGTCGACGCTGGCTGTTTCCCCATCGTTAGTGACACCGCCGCGTGTTACAAAAGTGTTGCTTGAAAGTAGTTCGCCGACGCTTCCGGCTGCTGGAGTCGACCTCGGCCTACCGGCGCCGCTGTCACGATCACTGCCGCTATTGCTCGGGCTGTCTGGATCGGCAGCTACGATGCTGGAGGCGCTCTTGTCCCGCGATGCCGTTTTCAACGCCGTCGAAGGAGTCAATGGCCCGCTACTCCTCCTATCTCTATTACATGCTTCCGCGTCCCACCCGTCCTCGTCCTCCTCCTCCTCGTCCTCCGCGTCCTCCCCCTCCTCTTCCTCCTCCCCACCCCCCTCCTCCTCTTCCTCGTCTTCCTCCTCCTCCTCCTCCTTCGCAGACGCACTAAGACGTTGCTCCCAACCCTCCTCGTCCTTGTTCTCTATCGCAGCAGAAGCCTCGCTTCTGCTCCTTCTTCTCCGACCCCCCGCCCCCCTCCCCGGAGGGCGGTCCTCCACTTCTGCCGCCACCTTCTGGCTGTGGTCGCTACCGCTACTAACGCTAATGCTACTGCTGCTGCTGTCTCTACCCCGGGTCATTTGCGGCCCTTGGTATCCTTCATCCTCTCTGGATGATGCGTCGGCCAAGTACGGGCCGCTTCTCCTGGTCCTGGCGTTGACGGCGTGAGAGGCGCGGTGCGGCGTCGAGCGAGGTGCTCTTCGTCGGCCGTTGCGCCGCAGCATGTCCAGCGTTAGACTGCGCGCGTACCGCCAGCGTTCGCGTGTCAAGTGGGACAGGACTGGGTCAGATAACGCAGGTGCTTCTGATCGGCGGTGAGGACGAAAACACCCTCCACAAGGCGTGTCCATCTTGACAGGTTGCGAAATGGATGTCCAGCCGAAGACTGATATTGTCGGGGGGGGGTTCGAAGAAACGCTCTCCTGCAAGAAAGCTGGTATTAGTACTTCTATCTCTAACGGGCTAGTTTATGTTGGACACGGCAGCCCATTTCGACATCGCATGAAAGAACGCTAGAACGATGCTCTCGCAACGAGAACCATCTTGCTGCGATCCGAAGGCATAATCGCTTGATTGAACGTCGCGAGGAACGCCCTAGCACTGACGCCGACCAGAAGAGCTACTGCGGCCCGTGTTGTAGCCTTCTGATTACCAAAACGAAGTCCAATCGAATACTTCAAACAATAACGGCAAGCTTGTGGGTCTTTGCGTTGGCCTTAGAAGTTTCATCCAGGATGCCTGTCCTGAAAAGGAAGTCATTCAGAAAATGTTCTCACGTGCGGCAGGCGTTGTGAAGGGACACTTCTCTGTGCGTGACCGACTTCCCATCCAGCACTTCCAGGCTAGGGATGCCCCTGGGTTTGTTGTTTTGGTCCGTGCAACGGCAGCAACAGCGAACCACGAAGCATCATGTTTATTAGAAAGGCGACGCGCGCCAACTTACGCATATAGTGGTGTAACCCACGTTGAACTTGCTTCGTTAAATCCACCTGGGGCTCTGGGAGAAGGGGGGGCAAGCAGAGTGGAGGCAAGGTAGGATGGGGCTCGGGAATGCCAGAAGTAAAAAGCGGACGATTGTGGGCAGCATCTCGTCACGGTGGTGGTAAATAGTGGGCAAACTTCACTTGAAGAACCCAAAGCATTGGGTATTCATCGACGTGGGATGACACCTTCCAGCACCCCCCAGCACGCAATCAATGCTCGATTACTTTCCAAGCTGCCCCTTCCTTAACAAACGAGTCCAGGTCTGCACGTTCGAATCAAGCCGCCCATTGCGCCAAAACATCAAGTCTGCAGAGGTACACCGCACCTGACAGCCGCGCCGCGGTACGTCCTGGCCGCCCTGAGCGGGTTCCCCCGCATGTCAAGGACGGTCAAGTTCGGGGCAATGTTCCACAACGCCTGTGTTTTACGGGTTGCGTCATGGTATGGAACACCGAAGGGGATTAGACTCAAACGGATCAGACCTATCTGACTAGTGCCGTCTCGTCGTTCCACGAATATTGCCTCTTGTGGTAGTAACTTACCGCCACCGCCTTTTCCTTCTGGGGGTCACACTGGAGGATCCCTCTGCGGTGCTTGGCTCCAACTTTGTCCATTGGATAGAGAAGCATTTGCTCGTGCTTCGAGCGAACACTTGATCAAACGCCGATTGTTCTTACCAAATGCGTGTTTCAGACTTTTTGACAAGGAAACACACGATCTTTGATGAAGAACAGAAGATAGTTGCGACGAAGTTTTCACGCAATGGACAAAAGCGTGCGGCATGTTTGTGGTCGCTTGGTTCGGAATAGACGAACTCCATCACCTCGCCCCCCACCTTCAGGTCATCCAAGTTGTGCAAGATGTTGTTGTTTAAATCCAACCGCGTCAAGGAAGGGAGCGAGATATCCGCGGTGGCAGGAGACGCGCACACCGTTTCCCCCTCGTCCTTCCCCCTCCCACCACCCGCGTCCCCGCGCGCCGCCGCCGCCGCCGACGCCGCCGCTTCTTTGAAAACGGCCGCTTTCCTCGGAGTCTCCTCCGACGTACGTGATCGCTCGTGTTCAGTACTGCCACGCGCTACTATGTTCGGAACGATTGTGGCGCCACTGCCACCGGTGTAGTCATCGGGGGCCACAACGGCATCGGTCGCTTTGGTAGCGGTGGCGCCGCTGTAGTGCTGCACGCCTTCGATGATGTTGTACCCCAGGTCGAGGTGCCGGAGGTGCGTCAAGCCGGCCAGTCCATGGAGGCAAGAAATTTCGTTGAAGCTCAGGATCTAAAACATCCGGCCAGGGCAATAATTGAACGCCGTCCGATGGTCAGGGAAAGCTGGTTGGGTTAAGGGTGCACGATTACGCTACACTGCTGTAGTTGGCGCACGGAGGGTGGTCGAACATCAAGAGGGAACAATCCTACGATTGAGACCTCTTGCTTCTAGGGGATCGTGAGACGAGAATACTATGGGGGCCTTAGGTATGTGGACTTAGATATATATGTGGAAACGTAGTAGTGGTTATCGTGCGGCACAAGAGATGAATCGCACGTTGGATTCACAAAAAATTGGTCAGCGGTCTCGAAACCGGCTTGTTGCGCTCACCAGCACTTTGAGGTTGTGACAGGCCTCGAGACCCTCGATCGTGCGGACCCCCTGCCCGTGCAAGCTTAGGCGAGTCAACATGTGGCCAGGCCTGGCGGCAACGGCGCACGCTGACAGGTGTTCTAGGCGATCCCCCGGAGCGGCGGACACGCCGCTACCGCCGCAGCCACCCGAACCCACGCCGCACCCTTTGCCGTTGCTCGAACCGGGCGGGATGCCCAGGGCCGGAGCCGACGGTTGCATCCTCAAGGCCTTCGAGATTCCTGCCTCGTATCTGAGACGTGTGGGAGGGTGAGCATTTCAAAGGGAGGGGCGGCGGGATGCCGGTGAAGAAGGGCGGGGGCGCAGCGGCTTCTCGGTGTTTGTCATTCGTCATTCAAAGTCTTCGTCGAGGTTGCCGCGGGCTCGGTGGTCGGGCTATAAAGTACATCCCGTGAGCACAAACGCAATGAGCAGCAATAAAGCGAAGCAAACTACATGCGCATGCTTCGCGTCCTAGGAGTAGTTAAGAACACGCCTGGTTGTTGTGGGGTAGAGGGGGGTTACTTTCTTCAGAGTAGCATCCGAAGGGCGCTAGCTTTCACGCAGGGGCGCCGACGCGGGACGTTCCCGGAAATGTGTCTTTTTCGAAAGAAAGCGGCTCGCTCTAGACTAACTCTAACCTCTCCGTCCTTGCCGCGGACCCGAGGGGCGAAATCGATTAGCACCCATTGCGAAACCACAAGGGCTCAATGTTGACTTTACGGAGGCGATTGACCCTTCATCACTGCAGACTATTCTGTTGGGGCAAGAACAAGGCCTATGAAATGCATCGGTGCTAGCGCACACCTTTGCATGGTTACATGCTTGAGGTGTTGGTATGCAGTAAAGCAATATGATACTTGCTGTCTCCGCAATTTTCGCCGATTCTGACTCGCGCTCGTCGCGTCCGGATTTTCTCTCTCGACTTTGCATACCTAGTTGCATAGGAAGCCGCGTCTATCTCGAGCTGCCTCGCTAACCTCGCCAGGGGGATCAGAAACGGCAGCACGTCCGCTCCCCCGGATGCCCGTCCGCTGCTGCTGCTGCTGCCGCCGCCGCCGCCGCTACCGGTCGCCTTCGCGGTCGAGGACTTCGATGACGTAGAAGCCGGCGGACAGGAAGATGACGAGGACGGGGAGGAGGCGAGGGAGGAGGATCGGTAGGAAGGGGCCAGCTCGTGCCTCCACTTGTTGACGCGCTGGCGCACGCCGTCCTTGATAGCTTGCCCATCCTTGAGGGCCAACAACGGAGGGGGGCGAGAGAACATTGTTTTTTGTAGGGATACGGGGGTCTACAATAACCTGGAGGCTACGACAATGCACGAGCTAGCGTACATCACTTCCTCCCCGGCTTTCCCTGACTGTAGGCTGCATATTTTTTTTGTTTTTTTTCCTACCTTCCCCATCTCGGGCGAGAAGTCGAACTCGATTATGTACTCCGGTAGAGCCAGCGCGCCGTCCAGCACATGCCATTCCTTGAGACACGCGTGTAGCATCATCAGTTCGAGGAGCGTCACAAAAGCGTGAGTAAAAACAGGCGTTGTGCTATCGACGAACAACGCACCCCAAACACCTGACCTCAGCCGGAGACGTACTCGAGTCGCCCCCTCTCTTACAGACACACGTCGTCGGTTCTCGTGATGCAGCACATTGATGCACCACCGTCAACTTCAACACGACGCCATCGTGAACCACGAGAATTGGAAAGCACACACGACTCCAAACGCTTCGAACGTACCTCACGGGTACACGGTTCGGCAACAACGCAGCCAACCCAATATCCGACGGTAAGTTCTACGCGTGGGTACGTGACAGGGACACCCCAAAAAGCTAACCTGGTACCGAGATGGCGCGCTTTTGGAAGAACCCCCCCCCTCTCCGTTGGCATGGCCACCACCGCCGCCGCCCGCGCTCACCCCATCTTCTCCGCTAACGCACACCGACTTGTACCCCGTTGCCCAGGCCTCCCTTAGCACTCCGGGCCGGGGAGGCCTCCTGGTGGTACTGCTGCACCCTCCCCCCCCCTCGCCGCAGCCCGCGGACGACCCAGGCGGCAGACGGCGAGTCCGACCCGTGTACACCTTGACCACTAGGACCCTGTACACCGGCGGCACGAACGCTTCGTTCCCCAGCCCTACCGAGGCCGGCGGCGCGAAGACGACGGAGTCCGAGCTGGTGCTGTTCGCCGCCGCCGCCCCCGCCGGGGTAGCCGCCTTCCTGCCCGGGATGTCGGCCTCGCACAGGTGGGTAGAAAGAACGACAGACTGAGCCCGGCAGGGGGCATGCTCTTCCTCCCTTCGGCATCTGTGGGAGACTTCACCGGCCGACGCGGCGGTATGTCTTCCGACCGTCCCCGGTTGGCTGGCAAGTTGCGTTACCCCACCCCGCACTCCTGGTGCCGACGGCTCTTCAGTGGTCGCGGTGTTCCCGGCGGTGTTGGTGTCGGCCTCGCTCCAGTCCGTCAGACGAAAGCCGTCCTCGGCCAGCTTTAGGAGGTCCGGCTGCCAGCTGTCGTGCGCGCTGCCACCGCCCACGCCGGCATCGAACGCGCCGCCGCCGCCGCCGCCGCCGCCGCCGCCGCCGCCGTTGCTCCAGTCACCACCACCGCTTGGTTCCCTGCTTCTGGCCGTTCTGCCCCTCCCCTCCGTGAAAAACAGATACTCCAGGCTTCGGGGGGACGATGACGGCGACGACGAGGACGATCGCTTGTCGCTCTTCTTACCCCTTCCCTCGGCGGCGGCTCTCGACAAACTACCGCCTCCGGGGATACTGCTTGTGAGTAGATCCCCGCTGGCAGTGGAGCTACTCCTGCCGCTGTCGGGAGCGCTGACGAAAGAAGCATCGACGGTAGTTGCCGCCGTTTCGGCGGCCCGGCTCGGTGATTCACACGGGCGGCACGGCGGTGAGCTCTTGCTGTCGCTGCCGCTGCCGCGTTTCTTGAGCTCCTGGGGCACCGATAACAACGGGCTGCGCCAAGCCTTCCCTTCCGTGGAGAGGCCGGCCCCTCGACGGCACTCTTCCCCGTCCTCCCTTGCGCCGTCGCCGGTCGAGACTTCGCTTCCCGCAAGCTGCTGTTGTCTCCCGCCGCTCGATAAGCCGCCAGTCGAGGCGTGTTCGACGGCACTCGTCTGTGGTGGCGAAGGAGGACAGCCGGAGGAGGAGGAGCCCCCTTCGTGCTGAGAGGGGCTCGGTGACTTGTCGATTAGGACACTCGGTGGGATCGCCGTCATCGGCGTTGTTCCGGCGGAGTTTTCTGCGGCGGAAGGGGTGGTTGACGAAGCTGGGGCCTTGGCTTCCCGAACGCAACGCTCGAAGCGGTTCTTGAGGAAGCGGTTGTGGATGCGAATTACCCGGGAAACTTTCACCCCGGAAGCCGACCCCTGCCCGACTGCCGTGATCTGCGAGCCCGGAGGACAAGGAAATAGCGTCAGCTCTATCATGCTTGAAAACAACGATGTGACTCCCGAGATGTAGGGAGACGGCTGCTCAGTCAAGACCAATACCTACTAAACAGATATTGGCAGATAGCAACCCTTGGGAGACCAAGACATAGCAACAACACACACATGTGTCAACACACACATGTGTGAAACTGTTGGCACCAATAAACTACGACCTCTCTCGCCTAGTTCGAAATACCCCCCCCGCCCGTACTTGAAGTATAGTCGTGCCTGCCGAAAGTTAAACGTTTGGCTAGCCGGAATGCCCTATCAGCCCATGGCCTATCTGGTTTAGCATAACAAAAGCAAGGATGATGATCGCCGTCTGGTTCATCCTTTTGAAACGTAGCCTGGGCCGAAAAAACCCGGACGTATCGCTCCGTCCCGGGATTGAAGGGATACGAGGTCAATGGCCTACCGACTACGGCATGCGTTGACACGAGTCCCCCCCCCCCCCCAAGCACGGCCGGCTGGCTCACCACGCGTGACTTGACAAGGTCGGCGCAGGAAGAAAACCAGACGTCACCCGGTCGGCCTTCCTCGAAGCGCACGTTTCCTCCTGTGTCAAACTCGAGCATCAGCTCCGACACCGCTCGCTTGCACGCCCGCCCCACCACCTCTTTGAATACTCCCAACTGCGTCGTCGTTGAGGCGGGGGCGTCAGAAAAGCACGCTTGAAAATGACACGAAGACTTGCAGAGGTCTGTCTCCTCAAAGGGTGATCTCGATTGAGTGCGACGGAATCAGGGAAGGGAAAGGCGATGGAGGAACTACATGTAGTCGCACGGGGCTAAAAATCAATGAGCTGAACACACATGATACCGGCTTTGCTCGAGAGTGTCCAGAGTCACTCCGCAGCCAAAACGTTGTCGACGTCTGTGTCATCCCCGCGGTTCCAACATCTGAGAGAAAAGCACTGGCTGGGCTAACGCCACAGGGTGCCCAGCACACAATCTAAAGCAAACATTGCCGACTGCGAGCGGTAGCCGGTCTCCCCCCCCCCACCCTAAAGGAGCCGCCTCTACCTCCAAGCCGTCCTAATTCTCGCCTGCTCTTCCATTTTGTGCAGTACCCCCTCCACCACCACCACGGCGCTAGAGAGGGCCTGCCCCTTCGCGATCAGCTGCAGCACCTCCAGCCCTTCGGGCTCCGTCGCTGCTGTTGCGCGAGAGGTAGACCTTTTGGTGCTGCCAGGCATGGAGGGCGATGACATGCTGCTCGCGATTGCGCCCTTCCGTTTTCTGCTGTTGGCGCTCTGTGCTGTTGCCGGACACCCGCTGCTCCCCTTTGTGACGGCCGCATCTGTGGCGGTAAGCCCTTCACTGGCAGCATCGTCGCCAGCAATGGTGGCTTCGGTGTCCCCGTTGCCTAGGTCATGGGCCGCGCGCCTGGCCATGAGGCGCTGCTCTACGTGCTTCCTCTGCCACTGGAGGTGGATAAGCGTGGTCTGGAGGTTGGCGGCCTTCTCCCCGCAGAGCTCTGTAGCCTGTTCCAACGACGAAAAGTGAGTGTTTTCCAACCACGAAAAAACAAGTGTTCCCAACCACGAAAACAAGTTAGTGTTCCAACCACGAAAACAAGTTAGTGTTTCAAGCATCAAGATACAGCTAGAGTTTTCCGAAACCGAGCCGCGGAAAAAAAGGGTCGGTTGGTACGGTACACGCTGGAAATGGAATGCTCACGAAAGGGAGAGGGGTTTCAAGGCCGGCGAGCAACTGAATTTCCAGAGTGCAGGCGGCGGCGGCGGCTTGGGTGGAGACGGAACATGCCCCCTCCGCGCGATGCCTCAAATCACGCCATCCTTGGGAAGCTGGAGAAGTTGTTAGGAAGCGGCCGACCATTCTTAGTGTGCAAAGTGGGCGACCCATCGTTATCAACAAGGACCTAGGACGACCGAACTACTGCCGTAGGACAAAGCGTGCCCGTTGAGATTCGCTCGCCTTTCGGATGACGTGCCCAGCGTGCCTCTTCACAATCCGCGATCGCATGTTGTAGTACATGCTCTTCTTGAGGAAGACGGTGTTGGCGAAGGCCTTAGATTCCTCCGAGACCACCTCCATATCCAACGAGGTCAACTGCAAACAGGTGTTTCCAAAACAGGGGGGCAAGTACGTAGATATTTACCGAAAATCTAAACCCTGCGGCAGCGGTTTGCCGCGCAAGAAACACGTACCAGATTGGATGGGACACACCCAACAGAGTGCAAACATCGCTGGAACAATTGAGCATAGTACACCGCAATACATCTGTACCGAAGGGGCTTCTGTGCCCTCGGCCGTCTGCCTTGTCCAGAGTCACCGACTCTCTCAGTCCTATACCCATCCGGGCGAGCCACAAAATACGTACCTGCGTCAAATGGTACGCGACGTAGGTCTTGTAGTTGGACAGCCCGCACACGGGGTTGTCGCCAAAGTGGATGTCCTGGAGTGTCAAGCTCCGCAGCCCTTCGAGCGGGGCGAGCTTAAGGAGCTCCTTGAAACATCCCAGCTGGTTGTGGGCAAGGTTGACCTCTCGCAGGGTTCTGCCCAGGGGGAGGCCGTCTCCAATTTCGGTCAGCCGGTTACGGCACAGCCAGAGGTCCTCGAGAGCCCCTAGAGAGGATAACCCGTCCATCTGTGCGTGCGTTTTGGAGTTTGTAAAAGGAGGTTGGTGTTGTACAACGTGGAGACACGAATGGGAGTAACCGTGGTTCACCTGGATGGCGGTTGATACACCTGACAAGAATCAAAACACCCGACAACTTCAAGATTGCCGGTCCACTCTCACATTCGACGGCCCTCCACGCAGACGTGACGTAGGTCCACACGCTCGCCACTGGTTACACCGAGGCTAAACCGGTCAATACTCATCTGCTACCGCATGCCACATATTGATCTGGTACCGCATGCCACATAATAAAACGCCCAATCAATATTTCCGTGCGTCCTGTTCTGACTCGCATCACCGGCGGCGCAGATTAACCCTTGATCATGATCTATCCCCTGGGCGGTCACTCACCGACGTTATGCGGTTATCGTTAGCCCACAACTTCTTCAGCCTTGTCATCCCCCCTACCCCATCCAAAGATTGCAGGTGGTTGCTCGACAGGTGCAAGGCCGTTAGGCCTGTCAGACCCTCCAGCCCTTCCGTAGTCTCTAGGCCGCACTCGGTGATGTTGAGGCTTTCTAGACCTGCAACAAATTCGCGAACATTGAAGGCTCAGCAATTGTTAGCACATGACAAACGCACAACTGTCAGTGCAGTGAGCGGACCCTACCCGTCACTGTCGTCAAAAGGACTTTGTCAATTTCCAGCGAGTGCACTGGCATGTGTGTCGATGCCATACCCATGGACAGGGCATCTATTCTGGACTCAATATGTGCCCCCAAGTTGTGATCTGCTGCTACCCTTGCCATCGTAGCCACGCTCTGTCAAGAAATGGTACTGACCAGGACAGCACTCGTCCAGCCCTGACACAGAGGTGAGGTTAGGTACATTGATGAAGCAGACCGCTGTAAGGCCTCCGAAGTAGCTGAGGCAGCCCAAGTCCCTCAAGCCGCTCATGAAAAGATCCAAGGACCGCAGCAGGTGACTCTCCCGGACAAACGCATTCTCGTTGAGGCCGTTAGCCTCGCATATCTCGCGTACTCCGGCGTCCTCCCTGTTGTGTTGCGGAAAGGGAACAAGAGCAACGCAGTCGGTCGGTAGGGAGGGGCTTGTCGGGGCGGAAGGGGGGAGTATTTCTCCGTCAACAGAAGGTCTATTGCTGTACGTGTTGGCATCATCACCTAGCATCACAGCAAGTGCTGTGGCCAAGGATGGACGGGGCAACAAGTTGACTCCTCCTTTGTTGCAGCAGGCTACTGCAGATTGCGGCCGCAACGCTTACGCTGGACACCTGGTCGTCGAAGAGGGTAAATCATCCCTCGTCCAACAACTGCGTGTGACGCTGTTCTTTCTGTGCGCTCGTTGCTTGTAGGTTTGTTTGCGTTTCCGCGCCATACATACCACACTTCTCCAACACCTCGCATAAGCATGCCTTCGCTCTTACCGAAATGCTCTCAGACGAAGGGCCATCGATAGCTCCATGACTCCATCTGTATTCTCCTCGAGATCGCCGACAGAGGTCGCCCTACAAAACGGAGCAGCGCAGCAGTTGTGGGCGTTCTTTACATCCCGGTTATAGTTGTCACAGTAGTAAAATGGAACCTTTTTATCATCGGGGCTCCATTGCTTAGGCATGAAACCGTGGCGGAGCACGTGTTGAACTATCAGTTGCTTTGATTGAACTAATCAACCAAGCGCGAAGAGAGAGTACGCTGATGACTCGCCGGGTCCCTGTTGGATCGTAAGTGTTGTGTTATGTTGCGGGTGCTTTGATCTGCACCAACAGGTCTGTTACAAGTAAGTGCATCAGCCACACGGAGCCCGCGGTAGTCGTACACACGGTTCAGAGAGAAAAACACTGCTCCTCATATTTTCATCTCTACTATGTAATCGTGTACTCTGAGCAGCACCAGCAGCAGACGTACATTCTGCTGCTGAATCCTGCTCACACCGCACTACAGGGCACAGCGGGCTATAATATTGGGGCGTACCCAGAGCGGCGATTGTGCGTGAAGGGGAGTTCGGTAGTGTCGCACAGCACACGGAGATTGCAAAGCGCTTTCGACTGCTGGCAGCAGGCTTGGAAGGTTCAACCTTCTACCCCATCAATGAGCCACCCGGAATGTGCGTTGAAGTACACGACGCCGGGGCGCGGGCAGAGACGGAGAGGAAGACGCCAGCAGACAAACACGAAATACGTGCACCCCCCCCATGCCAAAACACATGCATGCGCCAACAACGTTGCTTCATCAACCCAAAAAGGGCGAGTCCCCACCAAACGAACGACCCCTCCTCAATTGAGTAATTATCTACTGCTGTAGCATCTGCATCGTACGCAACAAACCTCGAGTGAGCGTCGACGGCAGAGTCTCCTCTTCTTGGAGCATGCAGCAGTAAAATACCTGCATGCATCTCCTGTTGGTACGCAGAAATCGGTTCACAGCTGCAGCAGTAGACTACAACGCGGACTACGGTAGCTCAGCACCTGAGTACCTGACACCTGCAGGAATGTCAGCGATACCCCTGTCAACCGCATCCAATGTACGCATGCACAGCAGCAGTACTACTTTTGACCTCTGATGTGGGACAGAATGGTACCACGCACAGCAGCAGTCCGCAGCAGTCCATCACCACAACAGCTTACCCTGAGCTATGCATAGATCGTCTTGTTTTCCTCATCCCACGCACAGCGCCGAACCGTGGGGCTATCCCAACAGAGCTTCATTGCACTTGAGTAAACCGAGGATGCAATCGAATCTGTAATGCTCTGGACACCAGCATGGTCGTAGATAAAGAGGGTGGAGGGTTCCACGAACGTGGAGACGCGGCGCGCGAAGGCACCCTAAACTCTCGAGCGGCGCAATTTGGGTATCGTGTGCGGTGCAATACCGCACGGTTCGTAAGAAACATTCTGAAACGGCCGACCAGACTACTTAAAACGGGCACCGCTGTGTACTGCTGCTGTGCATGCGTACATGTACAGGTTTTGTACCTACGTACATGTGTAGGTTTTTGTTTTGTTGTTTTCTTCATATTAAACTCGTGTCAGTTGCTAATCCCAATATCTAGCAAAGACTCGGTCCGTGGTCACAAAAAAAATGCAAGTAGAGCCATCAGAGGATCTGAAGAACACGCACACTTTGTATCGGTCCGAAAAACGAGACCAATTTTGCCATTTATGTGTGTGTGATAGATGACAACTCACTTGTGGATGATAAGGAAGAGACGAAAGACCCCCCCCCCCCCCCTCCGCGCCGCGCGGAACATGCACACAACAAATGTAGGCTACATGTGCATAGCTTACATTTCATTGAAACTTCACACACACTTTAGACTAAAAAGAAAGCTTCTGCTCCTGACTTGTTCGAGGGCCGTTCAATACCCTGTCTTTCTCACCGCATTCGGACACCCCGTTGATGACAGTCGCTAGCGACTTTGGATCATGGCGTGCAGAGGACTCGTTAGAGACGCCGAGCGTTCCTGCATTCGCGAGAGAAGCACGCATCAACCCGAGGTAACACAAGGAAGGCCGTATCGAACATAGTCCACGTGGTCCTCACCATAAGTGTAGGTACCACAAGGAAAAAACGGATGATGAAGTAGAATCTAGCTGTAGATTGCCACCCAGAGTACCGAAACAAGAAGTAGTTTGTTCTGTGCTAAAGTGCAGCGTGTGCACGCGCACTTCAACAGTCGCCGGTTGGGAGCGCGGTACAACTTTTGAAGAGATGACTGGTCTCGACGTATCGACGTGGTTCGGTGGGCGTATTTGCCATGACGTTCCACACTGACCGTGTTTTTGCTTCTTGCGCAGTCTAATTACACTTCAAACCAAACACTTTCGAGAACGCCAAAAAGTTGACTGCAATAATAACATTGTAAGATAGCAGTAGACTATGTAGTAGTTGAAATAAAAGCAATACGTACTGACTGTAGTTTGAACACCCTTGACTTGTTAGACGTTCGTGGTAGTACAGGAGAATGGAGTATCGTACACGGTAGCTGTCGCGTACGAGGGCCGCATATCGTGAGCCGTGCGTTCTCTTTTGGCTATGTATGAAAACGCACGCTTCATGCTGCTTCAAGCTATACCTCATGCCGTGGCCTTGACGTGCTGCTCGATGTCTTTTCTTGACGCCCGCACTACTATTTACAGAGAACAAGCACCACATGCACAGCGAAGGTCATCAGCCAGTCAGCGACGGCCCGCATCGTCGACCGTGCGTGTGCCGTACCTCCCCTCGCATGTCAAGATTCATCAGTTAAGGCGAGAGCACCGGCAGCAGGCCTGGCCGTAACGTCCACGATGAAAGCACGTGTGTCGTGGATTACTGGCGGCGTAGGTGTGGCTCCCGTTCTAGCCTACTCGGCCCTGTGTGCGACGCGCACGTATATCCACACGAGACAGCAGAGCCTTCTCCATAAACCCGACCAACAGGTCTCAAGTGCGGCGAAAACCGTTGCAGCGCGTGAACAACGTAACTCCTAATGTGCCGTTGTACCCTGCATGGTATTGCAGAAACCAATTAGACCCAGCACCAATGTTGGCATTTTCACGTTGCATGGTGCCACACACGCACGCGTGGAAACCTCACGCAGTGCTGCAGCTCACACCCAAGACCACAGTCCAACGACGACGCATGTCATGAACACAAACATACTGTAGTGTACCACAGCTACATATTACCTCATCTCCTCTGACCACCTGCCTTCCCGCAATGTGACCACTAAAAAACGACAATGCTAGGCCGAAACGCCGACCTAGCAGCGCGGCGGCGTCCTACATGCGGTCTACCTTTGCGATCGATAGCGCGCTACCCCCACGGGAACAGCAGCAGCTGCGGCAGCAGCACAGGCGACGGGGTTTATGGCAGCAGCCGGAACAGCGGCGCCCCGAAGAAGCCAAGTACGTGTTGCAAGAGGGCCCGATTCGGGGTAGCGGCAGTTACAGCCGAGGTGTCTCGACGGTACCACGCCACCGGCAAGCTTTCGGGGTGAGGACGACGACGACGACAGTGGCGGGGGCGGCGGGAGCAGCGGAAAAAAAATGCACCGGCGGCCGGAGTGGTTGGACAAGGGGGTTGAATCAAGGAAGCAATCGACCGGACCGGTGAGAAATGTGAACAAGACAAGAATGAAAGGAAGCACAGAGGTCGGACCGCGGGGCTTTGACCCAATGTTCCTACGAACCGCGTCTATGTGCAGAGTGCGTGTGTCATGTCCAGGTTGAAGATTTTCCAACGGACGATCCAGTCTCATTGACGCTTTTTCGGGAGAACCTTTGTTGTGTGGCAATGCACGACTGCTTCGAGCCAAAACCCCGGGGTCGCGTGGTTGTAAGATCACAACCTCTCCATTGTTTTTCGCCGCAAGCAGCACGTACCTCCTCCAGTTCACAGGTCCCCTCAACCACTATAATAACTACTACACACGCGCACGCAGGTACACCTTGGCAAACCTCCACGCTCAATTGAAAAACCCTCTGTCTCTGACGTGCCCGGCTGCCCCCTCAAAGGCGTCCCACCAGACGTCCTGCAAGCGCACCTATGAGGTTCTTCAGCCGCCCCCCCATATCCTCTTCCCCCGGGTACGAACGGGAAGAAACCGGTTCCGCATCAGGCGTGACAAGAAGAAATCCCGCACTTCGGGGTGCCTGTCCCCCGCACCGACAAGCTACGCGGCGGCCGGGATCAGCCCTGACAAGAAGAAATCCCACGGTTGGAAACCGCAGACGCGACGCTCGCCCCCCAAGTGGCGCGCGAGAAGACCACAAGAGGAGGGGTTCGCCTCTGCCTCCCGCTGCGTGGGGCGTTCGAAACGCCTCGGCCTCCTCCGCCACCGCTGCCCCCGCCGTTAAGGCCGCGGCGGCGAGCGGGGGCATCGAACAGGTCGAGCGGAGCTACGAAGAGGTCGTCGTCTGTAGGAGCAGCCAAAGGGTGATCAAGGGTTCGGCGGCGCGGCGCCAGAAGGCCGAAGGCCCCATCAGCGGCCGAGTCAGCGGCGGCGGCGGCAACGACGGGCGACGAGACAAGTGGGTGGGACTTCTCGAGGGGCCAAGCGAGGCGCTCTGGACGTGCGGCAGGGGAGGGGGTGGCGGAGAGAACGAGGACGACGACACTGACGACGGCGCTCGCTTCCTCGACCTCGCCATCAACCCATCCCCCTGGGGGGCGTTTGTGGGAGGGCCGCCCGGCATGGAAAAGACCCCGGCTGTTAGAGGCGGCAGCGGTGGCAGCGTGCAGAGGCAGCTTAGCAAGAAGAGGCCGAGCAGCGCACCGCGCCAGCCTCCCACGGCTACGGCCCCACCGACGGAACGGTCCGAGGAAGGTGGCGGCCGCACTAGGACTCGGCCGAGATCGGCACACGCGGCGTCTCCCTCGCGACAAAACGCCGCCGGAACTTTTGTCACCGCAGCCTACGGCGGCGGCGGCGGCGGCGGCAGAGAAAACGAAGAAAATTGCATTTCATTGGGAGAAACACCACATGAGGAGACAGAAAAGTCAAATTCGGCGCGGCGGGGATCGCGCGGTGGGTTGTCAGTGCCGGCGGGCGTAGATGGAACAGCGGGGGGAACGGCGCAAGGGACTGGCGGGGTAGCTGTGCCGACGCAGGGGGGCAAGGAGATTTTTGCTGGTGGCGGAGGCGGCGGCTGCCACCCGGGAGGTGTTGTTCAGGACGCCGAGCTTGTTGTGGTTGCACGACAGCTGCAGCCGAGGACCGCGTTTTCTCCAGTAAACAAGGTGTGATAGATGCGGCTTACACCCTTCGTATGTATGCGTTTCGCTGCACTGCTTACGATGCTTTGACCTTCGAGGTATGCGAACCAGGTCGCCGAAAAAGCTGGCTCCATCTCCGGTTTTGGAAGCAGAATTACATAGTGTAGTACGGCATGGATGGCCATGATTAACCCCCCCGCCCCCGCCCCCGCCCCCACACACCACACGCCGCACGTACTTTGCTTGCCCATCCCCGTCGCTAGCCCAGTACAGAAACAAACGTTGATACACGATACACGATCAGAACACCCAACTAACTACCATTTCCTGCTCATTTTCTCTCTTTCTTTCTCTCCCTCCCCCCCATCCCCCCTCCTTTAATTTTTCTCAAGGGAAGCCACCACAATAATAATAGCGGCTTGGAAAAGATGGCTGGCGAAACGCCCGCTCCCGCCTTTTCATCTCGCACCATCGCCAGTGGAATGCTCTTCGACACCCAACCGCCGCCTTCCCTCGCGCGACCAATGATGCCGCGGACGCCGGCGCCATCACCGCCACAACCGCTGTCCCCGCCTGCTCCCCCCCCGCCGCCGAACAAAATCGGCCACACCCTCGGCTTAACCGGGTCCGCCATTGTCCCGGGGGTAGCGGCTGCGCCGGCAGCGGCGGGTGGGACAGAACCCCGCCCCCGTCACGGGACCACTACGCGGCGAGTCTTTCAGCATCGGCAGCAACAGCAGCAGGAACAGCAGACCGCAACGACGTTAGCGGGGTGGGTGAAGGAAGCCGGTGGTAGGTGGAGGAGCGGCGAGAACGGCAGCGGCAACGCCACCGCCACCGGACGATACGTCTTTTCGACCATAGCTCCGTCGGTGGTGCTGGACTCGAGGACCGCCAACAACGCACACGGAGGCAGCGGCCGCCGTCGCGCGGGGGCTTCAGGGCTGGTGGGAAAAGCGCTGCGAGTCCGGAGACCTAAACAATTAGTTCTGGGCCGCTAGCAGCATCAGACGCAAATTCGGGGAAAGAGGAGTGCCTCTGACAGCAAAAAAAAGGCACTACAATCTAGTCAGTCCGGAAAGCTCCGGGTATGGTACAGCAGTAGTCCTTCGATTGAATCGATTGCTGGGGAGTCCGCATTATCATCCCACGTGCTGAACGATTAAATTGCATCAGCACCTTCGGCGGCCGAGCTGCATGACTGATATTGATTCCCCGGGGTCGGGAGAGCAAGAGGAGTCGGCACAACGGTTTGCACACAGCATGTACCAACTGAATTGACTGGTACACGACGACAATATTAGACAAAAAGAGGCTGTTTCATTTAGTCTTATACCAAGATGCCACTTGCAAGAAGACTCTTGCTCAGTCACCTTATGACGGCATAAACATAAACATCTATACTTCCGAAAAAGCCGAGACGGCGAAGAGTGGTTCGTAGAAAAAACACCAAGTCTAAGTATTGGATTCCTCAACACGATAGAACCCGAACGCAACACAGCTACACGCGGGATGTACGTGTGTACGTGTACGGAATGGTACCGACAACCACGGGGCTGCTTGCGTGACCCACACGAGCCCAGGGGCAGGACAAAGGATACGTCGTGGGAGCGCCTACACCCTCTTCTTTCAATCATCAAAAAGCCATCGAAACTTTGATACTTTATTCACGCGTGTGGTGGGTAAACAATAGTAGAGATATACATATATATGCCGTTTGGTCGCTGATACAAAGGACAGGTATCGAGCGGTGACCAGGCGTATAGGGTTTGCTCTCTTAAATCTGGAACATATACACGGAACCACGGTATACGACGACTACACCCAAGGTACCCAACCTACCTCTCTGCCCGCCACTGGTGCTCCGACCCGAAATCGCATATTATTACGCGGAAAAAAACGAAAATCACGTACTCCAAACGACTACAATACACAACAACCATCCATTTATATACGGACCAAATTAAGACGCCCATCCCACTCCTCCACGTTCGCGCATCGCGTGTCCACTACAGCAGCGTTGCATGAACCTTCCGCTGACAAATGACACATCTTCTCAAAAACTATAAGGTATTTTCCGTCCCTCCCTCTTATCTTGTTCTGGATAAACAGCCCGTCACCTCAAATAAAACCAAGGCGAAAAAAAAAAAACTCAAAACGCACACATAAACACGCACACCCGTCCCACACCTACACTTGTCTCTGGTCCCGGCAACGAAGCTTAACATGGGAAACAAATATACAAAGAACACCCCGCGCGGTCCGTCCATCTACACATGATGGCATAGGAAAAATGCGCACGGAACGGCGGCGTACTGCTCTGTGATGGTAAAAGAATGTTCTTCACGATGACAGCGTTCCTGTGCTCGTCGTCTGTGCTCGTGGGCCTACGCGGGGTGGTTTGGTGGTGGTTGGGACGTCACACATCTCCGCAGATCCAAGGAAGTAGTAGTCTGACGGTGGATGCTCGCATCGCCCCCCCTCCTTTACACCAATCACTCCCCACTCCACACACCCCGCCACTTGACGCTGAATCCACAAATCCGACCAAGCCCTGTCGCGGAAGAAAATGCCTCGGCGGCACTTTAAAAAAAAAACACACACACACACACACATAGAAACACAACACTCACATTGCACAAGAATCACGTGACGGCGCTCGACTTTCGGAGTACGGTGCGTGTGTGTGTGTAAACGTGGTTGTGAAAAAGCAAGTGGTAGCCGCTCT